CGGGGGGACCTTGCAAAATTTTCACGTTCTCGGCACGGACGGTAGCACACTAGACTAGAGTGAACAGTGATATGCCAGAAGTAAAGTCAGACTTACGGCACCCTTCTGCTTGTCGGAGTACCAGCCATGGAAAGAGACGGACAGCTGTACAATGGTACCGGGGATGAGGACATCCTCCAAGTGGCAAGGCAAGATTGGATTCCCCTCAGTATCGAATACACTCGGTTGAATAGCACGAACTGCACGGCGACATTGTTCTGAGAAGATGGTCGCATCGTACCCAGGGATTAGTGAGGGTGGGTACAATGTTCCCGGGGTGGCTGAAAGTTGTTTTCGAAGGCTCGATCAGCAATGGAAATACACGATGGGCAGAGATAACATACCAGCTGTAGTGGGAAATGGAGGAAGCACCGGAGTTGGAGTGGACGATTGAATAGATGCGCCTCCTCCTCTTTTCCGAGGGGAAGGTCCTGAACTTGTTGGAAGCAAAGGGACCGAGGGGTCGATAGCCTATAGTGAAAGAACGGTTAACACATATATGGATGATGTACGAGTAGAAAACATCCAACACTTACATAGAGGGGGGGGAGCTGAATAATACAATAGTCCGGTTTGCCACCAATGCCCTTCTCGTTCCAAAGACAAGTCCGTACAATGGCCTGGGTACAATGAGGAGTGAGCAAGACTACTAGAGTTGACGAGATGAGTGCACTTACCATCTTTGGAGGGGGATCGACCTTGGGTTTGAGAAGGTCGACATTGGCATCAAGGACGTTCTGCAGAAGAGATAGACCAAACAGTTGGTCCTTCATCTGAGCCATGAGGTCAGGATTGTCGGATTTGATGAGGGCAAGGCCAATAGAATTGCGAACGGTGTGGACACGCCGGTCGGTAACCTGAATGCAAGTATATGAGCGAAGACTCAGAGAGAATGACTAAGGAAACATACAAGGTGCTCAGGAGCACGCGCACCAGCCGCGGAAAAACTAGAACCAAACGACTTGATTTCCCCCCAGATGGTGGTCCGCATAGTATTGTCGCCATTAGATTGGTAGAGCTTGTGATCAGGAGCATAGAGGATTTGGAGGTCACGATCACCGTTGACAAGGCGCGCGGTAACGAACGAGTCGGGCAGAGTGTCTGATCCAGGCTTGCGAGCGTCCTTCAAAAAAGCACAAGCAAAGTCGTCCGCATCAATAGCGGTAACTATGCTCTTGTGGTCGAGAACCAAAGGCAAAGGCATGGTCTGAACCAGAAAGTGTATCAGCGCGGCCATTGGAGCAGAGAGAAGGACAGTACAAACGTTGAAAGATATAAACGTTAGGAAGAGAGAGAGCGATGCGCAGCAGAAAGTAGATGTTTAGGGGCGAAAAAAGCGAGTTTGCTTCAAGGGGGTGAAGAAAGGGATTTTATAGAAGAAACTGGCGTGAGGATCGAGAGAAGAAGTGAGCTAAATGGGGAAGTGGAAGGGATAAAGGGAAATAAAGGGGAGTGGGAGATACTCGCAATCTTCGCTGCGTGTCTCACATCCGACTGAGGGAGTGCTCGTGACACGACCGGCAGGGCACCAACAAGGGGACAATTTCGATATGGACGGAGGAAATGGATAAAGAAGCACGATTGATAAGGGAGGAAATGGGTCTGAAGAAGGAGAGACAGCTGACATTGAAGAAGACGTAGAAAAAACAGGGGAACGGGAGAATTTAGTAGTCGGTGATAGAATGGGGAGGTATAATAACAGGTTTGAGGACGGTGATGAAGATGTAGGCTTGGGGGATTGGGAGGATAGGGCAGAGTCGAGAAGGTGGCCGCAATACAAAGGCCAGCCAAGGTACGCCTAAATCAAAATACCAAGGTGATCAGGTGAGTCGGGGTCCGGAACATGCAAGGAAAAGACAAACCATGGACGACAAAGAAAGGGAGAAGCAGTTTGAGTGAATAGCCGCAGAAGGAAATAGTTTGTACGTGCTAGGGGAACGATTACAAGAGAAGAGACGTTAGAGTCGATACTATAAATGTTTAGAAGAGGGAGGAAATATGTACTGTATAAAGCTGAAGGATGTAACATGGGGAGGAGGGAGGGAGCATTCAAAAGGAAGGGCTGTTCGGAAGAAGAACTATTTGTATCCGAATCCAGCGGTCGTATGAGATATCCCAATATACTACAAGGGACTCAGGAGGATAAGGGCAGAGAGACGTGTGAATCAGGCGCAGAATGCAAGGAAAGGGGAAGACAAGAGTCGACAGTGACACTATACACGATCTGCTGGGAGAACGACAAGGGATCAGCACACAAATAGAAGGAAATAAGGATTAAAATCAAGATATAAACTCACTTTCAGAGGCACAGTGCATATAGATAATAGCTTGCGCCACGTCCATCCAGTGTCATCAAAGACTCAAGGTGTAGCGGCGAATCGTCGTCGCGAATCGGAGACCCTCGCATGCCGTCATAATTCCACACATCGGAAACAGGTGATTGAGAGTTTGCGGGGGTAAAGATGCGTGCAGTATAATGTGCACTGCCGTGATAAATGATTCCGAAAAGTCGGTAAGTGGAGGGAGGTTGAGAGGTTAGATCGCTGATCGTGAGGACCAATGAGGGCAATAGTTTGCTGTTTATTCTTGGATCAACTGGTGTTTCGAAGGTGAGAAGGAGCGGAACATCGGAGAGCTGATAAGGTTGGTTGGTTGTTGGAAGGCAACAAGTGGTACAAGGTGTTTGGCACCACTCCGCAATCTGCGCGTCCGTCCACTGCTGGACTGTTACAACGCTGGGCAGATATGAACCAAAGCAGGTAATGTTTGGTTCGATAAACAAAGTTCGTAGACTAAATGTTATATCTAGGGTGATATCCAAGCAAGTGTGCTCGACTTGGAAGAGAGGCTCACTCAAAAAGCCCATGACCCGTAGAACGCTTTCCATAGGAGTACAAAGGGCACCGAAGCGAGGAAAAGTTGCTATGTCCTGGGAACTAAGCTCGTTGCGAAGGCGTTCTCGAGTACGGGTCAAGATTGCTTGGGCTTCTGAGTGTACTGACGATATTTGAAAGAAGCCTGCAGATACGAAGACCAAAGAGGGAGAATGGATGGAAAAGGCAGCCTTCCACAGCTCTGTAGCATAAAACCAGGCAACATAGAGGGGGGTTAAGAGCGAGTCGTATGCACAGGAGTAGGAAGCGGCATGCCATATGAGGAATGGAAAAGGATAATGGTAAGTTAACGAGGCTGGAGCTGACATCCGAGGCTGAATCATATGGGTTTTTGTAGAACCCCGCTCCAGGTGGTTGTCGCCTTGTGTGATAGCTACTTGCTTGTGGATGCGACCGGATTGGGAGTCAGCTCTTTTCCGCTTGCGATCCGAATCAAATTCCCAACGAAGTTTTGCACGTAAAGGATTTTTGGCATCTTCCTCCTCTTCATCGGGAACCTTGATTGGGCAACCATCAATGAAACCCTCCTTCACAGACGTATTGTGCTCGAGCGCGGTGAGCCGTGCCATTTCCATCCTCAGAGCTCTGGGCCATGGACGGTTCAGGTCACGCAAGGTGACTTCTTCGGTCAGAAAGAGGCCATCTCTAGAGGTGGCACGAGAGGCAATGACGTACGCGGCGGCTGCATCTCGTTGCTTGAGACTTCCGACAACGATGGGCAATGTTTTGCCCTGGGCAAAGTGGCCTGTCACAGCATAAGCAGGTTCAATCGGCAACTGTTTTCGATGGTAAGACTGCTTCTTTTTATCAGTAACTATGCTATAACTCGATTGAACAGCAGGTATGTACACGCAGCCTACAGGAAGTCCATGTAATCGCAATGGACTAGCAGGAAAGTAGACTATGGCGCCATCTGCACAAGTATAATCGCCATAGCGAGAAGTGAAGACACAAAATAATACTCCAGTGGAGCCATTCGATATTTTTAATTCAGGCGAGATGTTACGCTGACGAAGGATCACGCTCATGCCGACAGCCAGATGTATGATGGCAGGGAGAGGATTTTTCGACAAAGAGCCATAATCGCAGTCAATGTGTTTGCGTTGTTCCTCTGCAGACAGAGCGGTTCCATCAGCCAACATATCTCGGGCGGCACATACAATCAAATCTCTCTCATCATATCTCGTTTCTGCTTTCAACTGGTTGAGCACGCCTCGTGCATGGTTATCACCCACGATGGCCGTTGATGCTTCGCTCTGACCTGCAGAGAGAGATTTGATTGTATGTGCCGCCCGAGATATGTTGGCTGATGGAACCGCTCTGTCTGCAGAGGAACAACGCAAACACATTGACTGCGATTATGGCTCTTTGTCGAAAAATCCTCTCCCTGCCATCATACATCTGGCTGTCGGCATGAGCGTGATCCTTCGTCAGCGTAACATCTCGCCTGAATTAAAAATATCGAATGGCTCCACTGGAGTATTATTTTGTGTCTTCACTTCTCGCTATGGCGATTATACTTGTGCAGATGGCGCCATAGTCTACTTTCCTGCTAGTCCATTGCGATTACATGGACTTCCTGTAGGCTGCGTGTACATACCTGCTGTTCAATCGAGTTATAGCATAGTTACTGATAAAAAGAAGCAGTCTTACCATCGAAAACAGTTGCCGATTGAACCTGCTTATGCTGTGACAGGCCACTTTGCCCAGGGCAAAACATTGCCCATCGTTGTCGGAAGTCTCAAGCAACGAGATGCAGCCGCCGCGTACGTCATTGCCTCTCGTGCCACCTCTAGAGATGGCCTCTTTCTGACCGAAGAAGTCACCTTGCGTGACCTGAACCGTCCATGGCCCAGAGCTCTGAGGATGGAAATGGCACGGCTCACCGCGCTCGAGCACAATACGTCTGTGAAGGAGGGTTTCATTGATGGTTGCCCAATCAAGGTTCCCGATGAAGAGGAGGAAGATGCCAAAAATCCTTTACGTGCAAAACTTCGTTGGGAATTTGATTCGGATCGCAAGCGGAAAAGAGCTGACTCCCAATCCGGTCGCATCCACAAGCAAGTAGCTATCACACAAGGCGACAACCACCTGGAGCGGGGTTCTACAAAAACCCATATGATTCAGCCTCGGATGTCAGCTCCAGCCTCGTTAACTTACCATTATCCTTTTCCATTCCTCATATGGCATGCCGCTTCCTACTCCTGTGCATACGACTCGCTCTTAACCCCCCTCTATGTTGCCTGGTTTTATGCTACAGAGCTGTGGAAGGCTGCCTTTTCCATCCATTCTCCCTCTTTGGTCTTCGTATCTGCAGGCTTCTTTCAAATATCGTCAGTACACTCAGAAGCCCAAGCAATCTTGACCCGTACTCGAGAACGCCTTCGCAACGAGCTTAGTTCCCAGGACATAGCAACTTTTCCTCGCTTCGGTGCCCTTTGTACTCCTATGGAAAGCGTTCTACGGGTCATGGGCTTTTTGAGTGAGCCTCTCTTCCAAGTCGAGCACACTTGCTTGGATATCACCCTAGATATAACATTTAGTCTACGAACTTTGTTTATCGAACCAAACATTACCTGCTTTGGTTCATATCTGCCCAGCGTTGTAACAGTCCAGCAGTGGACGGACGCGCAGATTGCGGAGTGGTGCCAAACACCTTGTACCACTTGTTGCCTTCCAACAACCAACCAACCTTATCAGCTCTCCGATGTTCCGCTCCTTCTCACCTTCGAAACACCAGTTGATCCAAGAATAAACAGCAAACTATTGCCCTCATTGGTCCTCACGATCAGCGATCTAACCTCTCAACCTCCCTCCACTTACCGACTTTTCGGAATCATTTATCACGGCAGTGCACATTATACTGCACGCATCTTTACCCCCGCAAACTCTCAATCACCTGTTTCCGATGTGTGGAATTATGACGGCATGCGAGGGTCTCCGATTCGCGACGACGATTCGCCGCTACACCTTGAGTCTTTGATGACACTGGATGGACGTGGCGCAAGCTATTATCTATATGCACTGTGCCTCTGAAAGTGAGTTTATATCTTGATTTTAATCCTTATTTCCTTCTATTTGTGTGCTGATCCCTTGTCGTTCTCCCAGCAGATCGTGTATAGTGTCACTGTCGACTCTTGTCTTCCCCTTTCCTTGCATTCTGCGCCTGATTCACACGTCTCTCTGCCCTTATCCTCCTGAGTCCCTTGTAGTATATTGGGATATCTCATACGACCGCTGGATTCGGATACAAATAGTTCTTCTTCCGAACAGCCCTTCCTTTTGAATGCTCCCTCCCTCCTCCCCATGTTACATCCTTCAGCTTTATACAGTACATATTTCCTCCCTCTTCTAAACATTTATAGTATCGACTCTAACGTCTCTTCTCTTGTAATCGTTCCCCTAGCACGTACAAACTATTTCCTTCTGCGGCTATTCACTCAAACTGCTTCTCCCTTTCTTTGTCGTCCATGGTTTGTCTTTTCCTTGCATGTTCCGGACCCCGACTCACCTGATCACCTTGGTATTTTGATTTAGGCGTACCTTGGCTGGCCTTTGTATTGCGGCCACCTTCTCGACTCTGCCCTATCCTCCCAATCCCCCAAGCCTACATCTTCATCACCGTCCTCAAACCTGTTATTATACCTCCCCATTCTATCACCGACTACTAAATTCTCCCGTTCCCCTGTTTTTTCTACGTCTTCTTCAATGTCAGCTGTCTCTCCTTCTTCAGACCCATTTCCTCCCTTATCAATCGTGCTTCTTTATCCATTTCCTCCGTCCATATCGAAATTGTCCCCTTGTTGGTGCCCTGCCGGTCGTGTCACGAGCACTCCCTCAGTCGGATGTGAGACACGCAGCGAAGATTGCGAGTATCTCCCACTCCCCTTTATTTCCCTTTATCCCTTCCACTTCCCCATTTAGCTCACTTCTTCTCTCGATCCTCACGCCAGTTTCTTCTATAAAATCCCTTTCTTCACCCCCTTGAAGCAAACTCGCTTTTTTCGCCCCTAAACATCTACTTTCTGCTGCGCATCGCTCTCTCTCTTCCTAACGTTTATATCTTTCAACGTTTGTACTGTCCTTCTCTCTGCTCCAATGGCCGCGCTGATACACTTTCTGGTTCAGACCATGCCTTTGCCTTTGGTTCTCGACCACAAGAGCATAGTTACCGCTATTGATGCGGACGACTTTGCTTGTGCTTTTTTGAAGGACGCTCGCAAGCCTGGATCAGACACTCTGCCCGACTCGTTCGTTACCGCGCGCCTTGTCAACGGTGATCGTGACCTCCAAATCCTCTATGCTCCTGATCACAAGCTCTACCAATCTAATGGCGACAATACTATGCGGACCACCATCTGGGGGGAAATCAAGTCGTTTGGTTCTAGTTTTTCCGCGGCTGGTGCGCGTGCTCCTGAGCACCTTGTATGTTTCCTTAGTCATTCTCTCTGAGTCTTCGCTCATATACTTGCATTCAGGTTACCGACCGGCGTGTCCACACCGTTCGCAATTCTATTGGCCTTGCCCTCATCAAATCCGACAATCCTGACCTCATGGCTCAGATGAAGGACCAACTGTTTGGTCTATCTCTTCTGCAGAACGTCCTTGATGCCAATGTCGACCTTCTCAAACCCAAGGTCGATCCCCCTCCAAAGATGGTAAGTGCACTCATCTCGTCAACTCTAGTAGTCTTGCTCACTCCTCATTGTACCCAGGCCATTGTACGGACTTGTCTTTGGAACGAGAAGGGCATTGGTGGCAAACCGGACTATTGTATTATTCAGCTCCCCCCCCTCTATGTAAGTGTTGGATGTTTTCTACTCGTACATCATCCATATATGTGTTAACCGTTCTTTCACTATAGGCTATCGACCCCTCGGTCCCTTTGCTTCCAACAAGTTCAGGACCTTCCCCTCGGAAAAGAGGAGGAGGCGCATCTATTCAATCGTCCACTCCAACTCCGGTGCTTCCTCCATTTCCCACTACAGCTGGTATGTTATCTCTGCCCATCGTGTATTTCCATTGCTGATCGAGCCTTCGAAAACAACTTTCAGCCACCCCGGGAACATTGTACCCACCCTCACTAATCCCTGGGTACGATGCGACCATCTTCTCAGAACAATGTCGCCGTGCAGTTCGTGCTATTCAACCGAGTGTATTCGATACTGAGGGGAATCCAATCTTGCCTTGCCACTTGGAGGATGTCCTCATCCCCGGTACCATTGTACAGCTGTCCGTCTCTTTCCATGGCTGGTACTCCGACAAGCAGAAGGGTGCCGTAAGTCTGACTTTACTTCTGGCATATCACTGTTCACTCTAGTCTAGTGTGCTACCGTCCGTGCCGAGAACGTGAAAATTTTGCAAGGTCCCCCCG